TCGGGTCACCCTTAGCCGGCCATTTGTAGGCCTCTTCCTCAACAGGAGCCCATCAATTCTCCTAACAACTCATTTAAAGGTGATGAGTTATTATGAGAAATACAAATCTCATCTTTGGCCTTCCCAACCAAAGCATACCCTTCCCCCATTTCTTCCACTATATTTTCAAGTTCGGTACAAATTACAAGATAGTTGCTTTTCTCTTTTTCTTTTTTAGCAACTTTGGGAGGTAAAGGCAACAATATAACTTTTCTACCATCTTTGGTAGTTACAATAAACACATTAGATTTACATTTGTGTACCGAATCATGATCAAATTGCCACGGTCTTCCAAACAACAAATGGCAAGCATCCATAGGAAGAATATCACACCAACGCTCATCTTTGAACCCTCCAATGGAATATGTCACCAAGGCTTGTTTCTTCACCCTTATGTTGGTACAATCGTTCAACCAATTGAGCTTATAAGGCTCATCATGAACCCTAGTAGGTAGCTTTAACTTACTCACAGCCTTAGACGAAATCACATCAATTTGAGTGCCACTATCCACAATCACATTACAAGTTTTTTCACTTACTTGCATCTAGTGTGGAACAACTTGTTTCGTTGCCTTTCATCAACTTGGGGCTCACCAAGTAAGATTTTGCGAACCACCAATAAGTTATGGTCACTTTCCGGAGAAATCTCTTCTTCAAAGTCGTCCTCCCCATTACTCTCTTCTTCTTGAGTCACAAAGTTATACATTTGTTCTTTCTTCATCCATTATTGCGCATTGTGTGGCGGTCAAAACAGTTTTACTAGGACACTCACTAGCAGTATAACCCCTACTATAACACTTGAAGCATTTTCTCCTAGTTGCCGGCTCACTAGGGGAAACTACTTGCTTTTCTTTCCCTTTATCAAACTTAGAACTTGATGATCTATTTGGAAAAGTTTCACTTTGAAAAGTTCTCTCATTAGAGTTGAAAGGAGTAAATTTCGAAGTACTCTTAAAAGAAACAGTTTTGGGCTTCTCTTTCTCCTTTTCCTCCTTAGCTTGTGCCTCATACTTTAAGGCGAGCTTACAAACATCACTAAAAGTGGTATAGTAAGTCACTTCCACCTTTTGGCTAATACTCTTCGAAAGACCTTTGACAAAACGAGCAATTTTAAAGGTCTCCTTCTCTTGCAAGTCACAAACCAAACACAATTTCTTAACTCCTTAATGTACTCTTCTACACTCGTGTTTTCTTGGGATAGATGGGTCAATTTTAAGTATTGCTCTTGTTCATACTCCCTATTTACCCATTTTCCCCACATCTTCTTTTTTATAACTTCTCCCATTAGTCAATCTTTTCTTTTCCCTCTCTTCTTCTATTTGCCTTGAGGTTTTCATACCATAGGGAAGCAAGTTTAGTGAGTTTTAGAACAGACAAGTTGAACCTTTTTTTTATCATTAAACCCCTTATAGTCAAAAACAGTTTCAATTTGCCTCACCCAATCTAAAAAGGCCTCACTATCATGTCCCCCATCAAACTCTGGTAGGTCAATCTTAAGCCCCCAGTCTTCATCAAATTTCCTAAGGTTGTTTCCACCACCCACATCCTCATTTTCTAACTCGTTCAGTTTTCTAGTTGTTTGCAACACCATATCGGCAATTGTATCCATCCTAGAATTTTGCCTAGCCTTCTCCTCCTCACTTTCTTCTGTTTTTTTCTCCAAACTCTCCAATTTTTCAGTGATTAATTGCAAAATTCTAGCAAGCTCCTCACTAGCCATGATTTCCACTATTTTTGCTAGGCTATACAAGTACAATGAGTGAAAACTGCTGAAATTAGAGACAAAATGCAAACGAAAATTGCCTCGAGACTCTCAAAGTCTTACAAATTTAGAAAATTCAGATCAAAACAACCAATTTGAAAAAAAGAAACTCCTCAAAAGCTTTTCGGATGAGGAAGAAATCTTCAATTGAATTCTGCCTTCCTAGATTTGTTTCTTTTCTGCGCTGCTTCGAATAACCTGCCCAGTTTATTAGCAGAAAAAATCCGAAAAATCTGAATATTGTTGTGAGTATTCTACACAAAAAAATATCCAGATTCATCAAACGAATCACTCAATTTGGACAGAAAACGAAGGAGATATGGCCTTTACAAACCGTAACTCAAAACTGATCGAATTCTGCCGTTTTGCTCCAAACGCCTTCAAACTCGATTTTCTTCAAGAAAACCCTTACCTAGGCTCTAATACCAGATGATGTAAGTCTAAAAACACCCTCCAAAGAGATGGATGATGATTCTAAACTCAAGAGAACAAGAACACTCACAAGTTACACGAAACAAGATAGTTAGACCAAAACTCAAAAACACACTCAAAGTTCTGGGATCTTAGGCTAGAGACAAGACACACTCAATCTCTCCCTAATCTTGCCACTCAAGAACTAACTCAAAGCAACAAGGAACAACACTCAAACTTTGGACGAACACAAAGAAGAATGCTAAGCAACCTCTTGGTTTTTATGTATAACTCAAAACTTCTTTTATTTCTGGTTTGCTCTCCCTTTTATAGTGGAAAGGAGCAGCAAATTAGCACACCAAAAGACAAGGAGAAACCGTCCAGGTTCATGAACCAAAAGCCAACGGTTTTTCCTTGATTCAAGCTAATTTAACTTTAAATGCTATAATTAAGCCTAATGATGAAGAGTTAAACTCTTCCTATTACAACCAGCCAAAGATCAACTCTTGGCATTATTTTTCAGCAAAGAAAAGTTAAAAACTTAAGCTAATAATAATGAGTAAATGGAACAAGAATCACACGCCCAAAATAGTAGTGAAATGGGCCAAAGTATGATTTATGCCAACCGTTTTCCAATCTTCAATCCACCTATGAAATGCAACATAGAATTTCGGCCTTCTTTGAAAATGGATAAAACCCAAGAGTCTCCAAGACTAGAGCAACTGGTTCTTGATCCATGGAGCTTCTAAGAGGGCGTCTTGATCTTGGATCATTCTCCCCTTCTTGAAAAAAGTTTGACCCCAAACTTGCATCTTCTAAATAAGGAGATAAATCTCGTATGTTGAAAGTAGCTCTTTTTAAATCAATTTTATGATTCACTTGCACACACCCCTTTTATAGCATCTTTTTCAACCACTCATACAACCCTTGCTTGGTTTTAGACGTCGTTTTCCACTTATTCTCCCCTTTAAGTTTCATTTGGCGGCAGATAGAATTGTGAGGCAAAGGGACTCTTGGAATGGCATGGTCAATACACCTATTTGAAGGTAGACGATTGGACAAGTCATCGAGAAAAACATATTTGTATTCTCCTAACAACTCATTTAAAGGTGATGAGTTATTATGAGAAATACAAATCTCATCTTTGGCCTTCCCAACCAAAGCATACCCTTCCCCCATTTCTTCCACTATATTTTCAAGTTCGGTACAAATTACAAGATAGTTGCTTTTCTCTTTTTCTTTTTTAGCAACTTTGGGAGGTAAAGGCAACAATCTAACTTTTCTACCATCTTTGGTAGTTACAATAAACACATTAGATTTACATTTGTGTACCGAATCATGATCAAATTGCCACGGTCTTCCAAGCAACAAATGGCAAGCATCCATAGGAAGAATATCACACCAATGCTCATCTTTGAACCCTCCAATGGAATATGTCACCAAGGCTTGTTTCTTCACCCTCATGTTTGTACCATCATTCAACCAATTGACCTTATAAGGCTCATCATGAACCCTAGTAGGTAGCTTTAACTTACTCACAGCCTTAGACGAAATCACATCAATTTGAGTGCCACTATCCACAATCACATTACAAGTTTTTTCACCTATCTTGCATCTAGTGTGGAACAAGTTGTTTCGTTGCCTCTCATCTACTTGGGGCTCACTAGAGCAACTGGTTCTTGATCCATGGAGTTTCTAAGAGGGCTTCTTTATCTTCACTCTCGATTCCAAGAGATCATGTGGTTAGAGCTTCACTCTCGATTTCAAGAGATCATGGATCAATTCTCACCCAGGCCTTGTGGCTCTCTAAACAAAAAAAAAAAAAAAAAAAAAAAAAAAAAAAAAAAAACTCCAAAACCATACCATTCACAAGCAATCATTCAAATTAATGTATATATCCATAAGTTTTAGGAAAAACTACTATAAATTAATAGGAAAATTCTATTTAAAGAAATAGGAAAATCTAAAAACAAAAATGAATCTACCTATCCAATAACAATTATTTAAAAGCGACAATCTGGGGCATACGACACACACTAGTTATATACTACATTTGTTTCATATTATTTGCAACGATTAGACATTTTTTACTCACATTTTATATCAAATCGTTGCAAATAATTGATATAAAACGGAGGTAGTATATTTTTCTAAGAATACTCACTAGTTACTTAACTACTTATGGCAAGGTTACGAAGCCAATTCAATATTATTCATTGAGTGAGATTTTACATTTTTGTTTCACATGCTGGCGCCCTTCCAGCCTTTTACTCACGCTTCATAAAAAAAGCATAGGAGATGCTAATCATGCATCAACATTGAGATAATAGTTTATTTACTCCCTCCATATTTTTTCTACACATCACTTGCATTTATGAGAAGTTTTAGAGAGTTTATTTCCTATAATATTGTATTGTGTAAGTGGGGGTAAGTGCATGATTAATCTATTTTGATAGAAGAACAATGAATACCATTAAAGAGAAAGAAACAATAAAGTTACTAAGGAAACAAAGAGATATAAATAACAAAATATGGTATAAATTTGCCAGTTAGAGAAAGTGTTGCATTTAAAATTATAGAGGAAGTATAAAGCTCCTCATTATTCTTTCCTTGACCAGCTTAATACATTGGTTGTTACCTTTATCCTTTTAGATTGATACTTATACTTCGTATTATATTACACTCTTTCCCAATAACCAACTTTTGAAATACTATATATAGAAAGCCTGCAATTAAATTTTCATTAAGCTCATTATAAGAATTTCCCAGCTTTCTATAATATTTTTTTTAAAGAAAAATAAATCGCAATTCAAAATGGGAAATCAAAGTGAAATAACACAAACCCTTCCTACAAATTTAAATATATATGAAGCTGCACTTAAGGGAGATAAAAATTACTTGGTCGAGTTGCTAAAAAAAGATGAATTAGCTCTCGATCGATGCATCATTGAAAAATCATGCACCTACATGCAATCTCCATTACATATAGCCGTTGAAATGAATCACTTAGATTTCGTAAAACAAATTCTAGAGAGAAAGCCGAAACTAGCAGAGGCGGTTGATCAAATAAAAAGATCAACCCCACTACACATTGCAGCTGCAACAAAAGGGTCATTAGAGATTGTCAAGAAGTTGCTCAAAGTGAAACCGAACATGTGTTTCGTGCACGATCAAGATGGAATGACGCCCCTTCATGTCGCGGCAGTAAATGGGAACACTGATGTGCTTGAAGAGTTTCTCAAGAAGAAACGTCAGGCTGCTTTGGAACGAACTACGAGAGTTGAAACAATTTTACATTTGTCCGTGAAAAATTGTCAGCTAGACACATTGAAAGCATTGGTTGAAATTACGTATGATCTTGAGTTACTAAACTCCCAGGATAGTGATGGCAATACTGTCTTACACCTTGCTGTGGCTTACAAAGAAAAAGAGGTAACATGAAATCTAACTCTTCAATTCTCTTCCAATTTTTACATGTTAAGCTTTACTTTGTCACGTTAATTATACTATCATGAATTTGCTTAGTTCACAAGTCCATTATGGGTCCATCCTGAACTTCATCGATTAGGTTATACTATATCGTTTTTTATACACTTGTAGGACATTTGTTTCTACTATGTGCATTTGACATATCCCATTTTACAACTTGTACAATAAATACCTTTGATCTGATCATGAAGGTCTTTAGTTTCATAATAATGACAATCATGTGTTAGTTTTATAAAGTAAAAGGATAAATGAAATAGTAGAGGAAAGATAGAATTGAATATAAAGCTATTTTATTACTCCCTCCGGTCTTGAAAGAAGATTATGTTTGATGGTTTTACACTGTTAATAAGAAAAGTACGATAGTAGCAAACAATGATTAGATATTACATATATCAAGTATGACATTACGTTAACTTTAAAATTAGGAATATTTGCCTTGAGAATAGATAAATAATTTTATGAATAGGAATAATCATTCAATATTATAAAAATTTAATATTTCGAAGATATTTACATATTAAAAACAAATCCATTTAGATAATTTCTATTGGTTTGTTTTTAAATTAGTAAAATACCAACCAATAGAAAATATAGCACACTCATGACATGCTCACATAAAGTGGGATTGAAAATTTGATAGAATTTGGACGCACTTGGAAGTTTGATAGATCCGACCCGAATATCAAATAATAATTTTATGATTTCATAAGTTCATCATAAATTGTACAAACATGTTTGAGAGAGCCCATGCATGTTAGCAACACTATTGGGCTCATGTCATCGCTAAGTGTCATCCTTCTCCTTATTAGCGGCCTTCCTTGCAAGCGACATTTTGTGTCTATTTTGAGGGTTACTTTGTGGATTGCTGTAACTGCGAGTGCAGCAACTTACTTTGTGGATTGTGGATTGCAAGCGACATTTGTACCTTACAAATGAGCTTTGGGACAAAGCTGCCTTAGTTGACGCTATGGAGTATTCAGTCGAGATCTGGCTATGGCTCATGTTGGTGATACTCTTTGGACATGGTCTGCGCTTCATATGGATGTGTCTTGGTTATAAGTTGAGGTCAAAAGTTAAAAAAGCTTTGGGAACTGAAGAATCATGTTAATATGTTTAATTCATTAATCACTAGTCCAATAAGGCATGCTTAGTTATTAAATAAAATGTACCATTGTGTGGGTTTTCATATAGAATTCACAATGTACTAGGTCATAAAATGTTTAATGTGTGTTTTCATACTTGGTCATAAAATGTATCGTTCGTGTTTGGGAAGGTTTACATAATCTTGCAATTGCAACCTTGGAGATTTTTATTCACTTTGTACAAGTATTGTTCTTTTTTGCATTTTACAAAGATATATCACTTTCTTAGTTTACCCTGAGTTGAGTCGCCCCATATATTTCTTATATGATCGCAATATAGTATATACGAAGAAGTAGGTTATAGTGGTAACAATGACAGCAATGTCAAGTGGCAGCAGCATGCATGATAACAATTATAATTACAATAATTTAGGCCATGTTGAAGGTTCTTCCCTGCAACAAAAAACCAATGCATTACACATTTGATTTGGGTTAATTAGCTGATATTAAAAGTATGGAAAAGGGGAAATGTTGGGAACGTATCCCACATTAAAGAAACAATAAAAAAAAAGTTGTGTCCAATACTCCAAGTCCATTTGACTTTATCGATCAATTCAGTGAACTCTTGTTATGATGTGGCCCAAGCCCATTTGCGCATTTGTTCACTCTTCATATTTTCATTTTGACTATTAATGATAGTAGGATTGATACTACCTTCAGTTTTGAAAGTTTTAACGCCATGCATTTTTATCCATGTTAGAAATTTCTGTGAGTGTTAAAGCTTATTGTATCCCACTTGTGAGTGTTTATTGGAGAAAGAGGAGTTACTTCTACTATTACCAATTGATTTCAGTATGGATGCTCTTAAAGCCTTGTTTGTGGACCAAACTGTAGAGGAAACCTTGGTCGGATTGCCTAAGCCCATTTCATATTGTCTCGAAATTTAATAGATTTTTCAAAATAGCGTTTGGTAGTTTAACAGTTTGAGTTTATAATAAATTGTTTTTTCTTTCCCCTTACTTGAGCTTAGATCTGGCAAACGGGACGTTCGAGTCGGGTACGAGTTGTGTCAATTACTATTTGGGTCGGGTCAATTTGGATTTCGGGTCAATGGTAGTTCAGGTCAGGTAGGGTATCGGGTCAACACTTCGGGTCAGTATACGGGTCTATTTGTCAGGTCAAGTTCAGGTCGGGTCAAATTTGGGTCAGGTCAAACTCAGGTCGAGTCAATTCAGATCGGGTCAATCTTCGTCTAAATCGATGTAGAAATTTGACCAATAATATATTATTATTATCAATAAGTATAAAGTATAACAATTGAATATTAACAAAATATTCATTAGACAATTCCAACAGTACTACACTACTAGAAAACAGTCAATCAACGACGGAAAAAATCCGTCGAAAAACCCTGAAATTCCGTCGGAAAGCAACGTCGGAATACGCTTTGTAGGAATTCCGCGATATTTCATCGAAAATTCCGTCGGAAAGGTCTATTCCGACGGAATTTCCGACGGATTAAGTTCTGTCGGCGCTTTTGTTGACTTTAAGTGAAAATCCGTCGCAAGGTTACGACGGAAATTTCCGTTGGAGTGGGATATGTTCCGACAGAAATTTCCGTCGGTGGGGGAGATGTTCCGACGGAATTTTCCGTCGGAGGAGGTATATTCCGACAGAAAATTTCGTTGGGAAATTAAACAAAAAAAAAAAAAACAGCCCGCCACCAACCCACACCATCAGCCCACACCCCTGCTCACCACCCCAACCAACCCCCACCACCAACCCACACCACCAGCCCACCCCTACCCACGCATACCACTGCCCCCTACCCACCCCAACCAACCCCCACCACCAACCCATAACCACGCATACCACTGCCCCCTACCCACCGTAAACCACCTACCACCACCAGCCACCACAAAGAAACCCGCAAAAAAACCCACAAAAATACAACAAAAAAACCCACAAAAATCACACAAAAAACAACCAAGCAAAAATAAATCAACAAAAATAAACTCAAATTAAACAACGAAATCAAACATTAACCACACAATCGAAATTAAACCACAATAATAAATAATAAAAAAAAAAAAAAAAAAAAACAAAGCAAATTATTAGAAACAAAACGAAGACATACCTTCAATTCCACCTCCAAAAACTTGAATTTGGGATTATATGGTTAAATTCGACCATAAAAACTCCAGATCTGGAATTTTTATGGTCGAATTTGACCATAAACACCATAATTGTTGACGACCACCAGCCTACAATTAACGAAAACGAAAAAGAAAACGAAAATGAAGGCAAACAAAAAAAAAACGAAAATGAAGGAAACAAAAAAGAAAACGAAAAAGGAAAAGAAGATAAAGGAGAACGAGAAAAAAACGAAAAAGGAAAAGAGTAAAGAGAAAGAAGGAGAAAGAGAATGAAGGAGAAAGAAGAAAGAAGGAGAAAGAGGATGAAGGAGAAAGAAGGAGAACGAAGAACATAGAAAGAAGATAGAATGAAGGAGGAGAGGAAATCGGAGAGGAAGAGAAGAGGAAAGAGGAGAGGAAAGAGAAAGAGGAAAGAGGCGTAAAGAGGAGAGAGAAAAGAAAAATGAAAGGGGGAGAGGGAATTTAGGATTTTCGGGTTTTTGTATGCGTTTTTTTTTTTTTTTTTAAAAAAAAATTATTAAATCCGTCGGAAAAGCTTAAAATTCCGTTGGAAATTTCCGACGGAATTAAAATCCCTCGGATTTTTCTACGGATTAAAAATCCGTAGGAAATTAATATGTTCTGACGGATTTTTTTCCCTCGGAATTGACCTCTTCCGACGGAAAAAAAAATCCGTCGGAATATTTCCGAGGGATTTTCCGTCGGAACTAACATTTTTCGGCGGAATTTTCCGACAAATCCAATTTCCGTCGGAAAATTCGAATTTTCCGAGGGAATTTCAGTCCGTCGGAACGATTTCGTCGGAATCCGGCCTATTTCTAGTAGTGCTATACACTCAAGACGACTATATTGTTTCGTATGTATAATCACTATCATTGATTAATTGGTCATAAATTCAAATCAGATAATGTAAATAGTGGAAAAAAAAAAATCAATGTACTTCCTCCGTCCCAAAATACTTGGGACGTTGAGGTGGACACGTAGTTTAAGAAAATTATAAGTGTATAGTTCGGGTCGCTTTGGATTCGGGTCTGATGTGAGTCTAGTACACCCCCCAACAAGTTATTGTATTTTGATTTGAATGAAAGGCTACTCACTTTGGAACAACTTACAATGGTGAAAACTAACCAAAACTCAAGAACACACTCAAAGTTCTGGGTTCTTAGGCTAGAGACAAGACACACTCAATCTCCCCCTAATCTTGTCACTCAAGAACTAACTCAAAGCAACAAGGAACAACACTCAAACTTTGGACAAACACAAAGAAGAATGCTAAGCAACCTCACGGTTTTATGTATAACTCAAAACTCTGATTTTATTTCTGTTTTGCTCTCCTTTTTATAGAGGAAAGGAGCAGCAAATAAGCACACTAAAAGGCAAGGAAAACCTTCCAAAATATGGAGAGCCAAAAGCCATGGTTTTCCTTTAATACAAGCTAGCTTAAATGCACTAATTAAACCTAAAGATGAAGAGTTAAACTCTTCCTATTACAACCAACCAAAGAGCAACTCTTGGCATTATTTTTTCAAAAAAAAACCATACTTAAGCTAAATAATACTAAGTAAATGGACCAAGCAACACACGCCCAAAAATAGTAATGAAATGGGCCAAAGTGTGATGTATGCCCAATTGCTTCCAATCTTCAATCCACCCATGAAATGCATCATAGAATTTCGGCCCTCTTTGGAAATGGATAAAACCTAAGTGTTTCCAAGATAAGGGCAATTGGTTCTTGATCCACGACGCTTCTAAGTGGGCTTCTTGATCTTGGATCATTCTCCCCTTCTTGAAAA